TGCTTCCCATTGGAAAGCAGGCCTTTGTAGAGATGAAGATTTTAGGAAAATTTCTTAAGCTCAGAAAAAATCTCTCTTTAGCTATGTGTCTGCTTTTACAGGCAGTTTTGCTTGTGTAGAATGTTGTGGTTCTATCATGTGACCACCTGAAGTACCTGCCTGAATTCCGGGAAGCTTGGAGAAACCATGAATATTGTGATAGCGGTTTGAATGGATGGTTCATTTTATTTTTCCTTTGGCAACATAATAGAACCCCAGTCATTTAAGACTCTCTGGCTTGCAAAGGTGCTTGGGATGATGTTCTTTCATTTTCTGTGCCTCATTCCCACTTGAGCAATGTCCACTTGCTCACCCAACAGGCCCCAGCTACTTTGCAGGACTCAATGCCAATGTTTGTCAGTCCTGAACATTTGTCAGTCTTGGGTGGTCAGAGATTCCCATAGTCCAATATAGAAGTCATGTTCTGTCATTATGAATCTCATGCATGTTTAAACTGTTTTACATGGCAAGGGGATAAAACTGCTGTGACCTAATATGTATATTTCCCTGACATTAAAAAGTCAGTCTGTAGTTTGGGAAGCAAACGTTCTGTGTCCACCCTCATCTGCAAACTCGCTTGAGTGAGGAAATAGATAAGAGGACTGACATAAGGTACAGAGGTAGCCTGAGGCATCTTCCTTTTCATTTCCAGTCCCAGCTCATTCTTGGTCCTCTCTTGCTCTCCCGAGTTTAAAGTCCTGATGGTAATGAAGATGAGGAAGGAAAGTCTGTGGCACACTCACAGAAAACAGGTTAGAGACTAGAGACAAACACCAACTCTACCTTCATTAGCTCACATAGGTACCCACAGTTTACAGATAAGGAAACCAAGCCCCAGAGGTAGGAAACAATTGATTTGTCCAGAACCATAGAGACAATAAACTTCAAAGCCATGCCATAAATCCAGACCTTTTAGCTCTAAGTCTTTGTCCTTTATACAAAAGGACAACTGCCAGCAGTCATGTTGATGGAGTGAGAATTTTATTCTTTTGAATATTCTGTGATTGCACTGTGAGATTTATAATAGTGGGTTTTCTGTAATTGCTTTTGTATAAATATAAACTGTTGTTAACATGGCTGCTAAAGTCATGGGCTACTTAAGAGTTCATTTAATCCAGTTCAATGTGTCTGGTATTTCAGGTAACTAAAATGTTTTCTACCACCGAAAGAAGCAATGAGAGCATTTAATTAGTGTGGAGACAGATTACCATATGTATGATTAAGATGAGGCTTCATGAGTCCTGCTCAAGTCAAACTTGAACTATTGAAAAACTGATGAATTATAATGCCAGTATGAAGGCTCAGAGGAAATTCCTACTAACTGCCTAAACTTTAAGGCTTTTAAACTTTTGAAAATCTACAGTATTATGCCCAGGATTTAGTGCAGTGTGTGTACATGATGGTATTTCTGGCAGTAAATTGGCCCCTACGCACATACAAGTCAAAGATAATGTCCTTTCCTTCCTCTGCATATGGGAGCTGATAGTTAAACAGAGAAAAAAGCCAAGTCCATGACACTGCAGACATTTACTGAGGGAATAAAAGAGAAACATTACTAAGAACTGCCCTGGGGCTTCGTGGAGAAGGCAGAGTACAAGCTGAGATTTGTGGGACAATGGCACTGTATGGTTGGAGGAAAGCATTGCAGACAAGGAGGACCCCCAGATTAAAAGGAATAGAGAAGGTAAACTTAGGTTCTATAGAGACATTGAAACAGTTGGGGAAACTGGTCAACCTTACCAGGAGCTCTTAAAACATAGAGCAGTAGTAAAGATTTGATCAAAGAGGCTATTTCTACAGCTAATGCCCTTTGGAAGGATTCAAGAAAAAAAGATGTTAGGACAAAATAGTAACTGGAAAAGCAATGCCTCTCAAGTAACTGGAAGCACTCTCTTGTGTCACCCGAGGATAACAGAATCAAAAGAACAGGCTACACAGTTTGGGTTGGAGGGTAAATGGAGGAGGATGCATTGGTCTCGGTTTGGTCAGTCCAAAGTGGCAGGAGTTACCGCTAGTAATTGTCCTATGAATGAAGCAGGCTAGCCATCTGACAGTTCCTCATAAAGGGCCATCTGTCCTGTGAAATGCGACAATGGTCTGGGAAGCCTTCCTTTCCAACTCCCAGATGGTAGCACAATGTATTCTTGTAAGAGAGACATCCTGGGTCATGGGCTCATTCTCAAATTTGCAAGTATGAAAATACATTTGCATGTTGCTTTTGTGAAACATGTTTCCTATGCATTTCTTCCAATCACAATGTAACCATCTTTAGATCACTCTATTGTATTAAATCTTCCCTTGTAGTGTTGGTATTAACAGAAATAAGTCCTCAAATAGCTCTTTTAATGTCTCTTTATAAAGAATGATAGACTTGTAAAATGCATAAACAGTGTCACAGCTGAATGTGACCTTCCATGCACCCTAAAAATTTCCCCAAAATGTAATTTTCTAGCTGACACTTTTTTTTTCTTAGCTTGCTGTGTTTTTTATTTCTATTCTCAGGAGTAGCATATCACTTTTTCTTTAGGGTCATTGTTTCTTAATGGCTGTGATATAAAGAATTCAAATATATGCCTTCACAAAAGAAACATCCTTTTTCTCCACGGGTAAAGCCACAGCCTGTATGTCACCCTCTCCCTGACTCTGTTTTGTTTTATCTTGGTTTTGATTGTTGGTCAGTTGCTTTATTGGTTTGTTTGGGGTTTTGTTGTTGTTTTGTTTTGTGTTGTGTTTGTTTGTTTTCTTTTGAGGCAGGGTCTCAGTGTGTCACCCTGATTTGTTTAGAACTTGCTATATAGACTAGGCTGGCCTTGGACTCAGAGATTGCCTGCCCCTGCCCACGTAAGTGGATTACAGGTGTGTGGCCCCATGTTTAGATTCCTCTATGACACTTTGTCTATACATCAGCCAAGTACCATGTGCTGTTAGAGTTTTGAACCTTAGCAAACTTAATCTTGATGCCTACTATGGGTCATTGTAGTCAACAAGGAAGAGCTGGACCTACATCTAACCAAGCTCAGATCCTAGTGATCAGTGAGTCTGGCTTTCAGGTGAGGGTTAGGATGCATATGCCTGGGATGCAGACAGTGGCTCACCTGTTCTAATCACATATTTATCATTTAAGCCCATCATTGGTATAATATTGCCCATTTTTATACATAATCAATTTTCTCTTTTCTAAAATGTTGTCTGGGGGGAAAGGCTGAAGAGGGAGGGAGGGAGGGAGGAGAGGTGAGGTGAGGAAAAAAAGAGAGTGAGAGACGGTGGGGAGGGGAGAAGGAGAGATGGTGAGACTTTGCCAAAGGGGGTTTCA